AAGGCTATAGAAATAAAAGTTGCAAAAAAGAGCTGACTCTGTGGACAAGTAAAACATAAAAATGTAAAGTGTAATTGGCGCAAAATAAAACTGATGCATTGCGTACCGCAATTCTTTTAAATAAAAAAAAAAAATAACAATATCTCTGGAAAGCTTACTCAATTTACATTCCGCATTCCATGCTTAGCCTTGCGCAATTACAAAGCAAATTCTTAGAAACACGCACTGTCAGTCCTCTTCACAGCTATTTATAATGTTTGAGAGTATTTTCATTTAAAATGTTTGTGAGTATTCGCTATCTTATTTTTTTCTGTCAACATTTACGCTTTGAGTTTCCTTAGCAAAAAGTACGCAACTACTTAAGATGGTTTCACTTTCTTGCAAAAGTTGCTCGCTTCTAAGTATTCACACAGCTTCCAATGGATTGAACGCATAGCAAATTGTATTAAAGATACAAAAATCACAGAATATGGTAAATAAAATGTAGTAAGTAAGTGAGTAAAAGAAGATATACAAATCTATTGCACGCCACAGTACAAACTAGAAGATACTCCCGCTGCACTCAAATAAATTGAATTGATATCTACTTTTTGAAGAAACGAAGTGCACTTTAAATAACATTGTATCAATGCTAGAGCGCAGCAAAGGAGAGAATGCTCCAAAAGTAGCAAAGATTGATTAAGTAGTATCAAAGTAAGAAATTAAATGAAATGCATGGGAAATGAAGTAGAGACGTATCTCAAGCGTACTTAATTTTGTTAGTATTTACTCATGTACATATGTACATATCAGTAAAGAGAACAAACATACTAGAAGAGCATGAATAATTTTGGTAGCTTTAGAATCTCAGCATTAAGACTTCAAACTTTTTTTTCATAAGTCGTTTGAGAAATGAGACTGAGTTGGGCACCTCAAGCTGCATACTGCCAGGCACAATATTTTCTATGCGACAATGTGGGTACGCGCGGCTTGACTAAAAATAGTAGGATTTGCATTTTTTTTTAACTACATGATTATTCATTTCCACCAAGCCCTAACCGCAGTTAGTGACTATTGGAAAAAGGAGAATAGAACTCGAAGCGCGTAATTGTTATTGCTCATCTATACGACATAATAGGTATTAGAGCAACAGAAGCCAATTCAACAATTTTTAGAATTTTCGTCTGTCGGTCTCTCTGTCTGTATGTTTGTATGCATATCGCTCGAAAACTAATGCATGGAATTGAATGCAGTTTTCACCGATGTATTTCCAGACGTATAACTTAAAATATAGAATGAAAAAATAGAGAGTTGCCACCTGTTTGAAAACCGCAGTTTAAGTAAATTGATAAGATAAAGTAAATATTCCAATACGGCTGTTAAAAGAAAACGGTTTGAGAAGACTTACAACCGAAACTATTTTTGTTCAAGGTTGCCACTTGTTTGAAAATTTTAATTTAATTTAATTGAAAAGATAAATTGAATATTGTAATTTGGGTATCAAACTGAAGAGGTTTAGGAAAGTTTACAGCCGAAAATATTTTTCAGGAGCGTTGCCATATGTTTGAAAAATTTTATTTAATTAAATTGACAAAGTAAAGAGAAGTATAACAATATGGGTATCAAACAACACAAAAATACTTTTAAGGCGCAGTGAAGAACGCTGGTTATTTGCTAGTATTAAATACAAGTAAACGAAAATGGAGCTTATCTGAGCTCTTAACTGCAGCTAATGTTTTGGTGGAAATAGGCTTTAAGTGGGGATAATTGAGTTAGTCTTTTTAAAGCAGTTTAGTTTGGATTCGATTTAGCTAAATATTACGAATGAGCAAAGCAAGTCATATGCAGTGGACAGAGGGTAGACGAAAACTGAAAACGGAGAGTGGGAAAATAATATTTTAAAACGGTCAGAGAATGGCTAGCTGGTCAAATAGAAGTCGCTTGCCTCTCCCAAAACTACTTCACATGCCTTCTTTTTCTCGCTTCAGCAAGTAGAACGTATTTTTAATCAATATTTAATTTTATCTAACGCAATATCGAAAGTTCATGCATATCTCCTCATCTATGTACACATATTCCCAACGCTCACTCAAATCGCTTAGTATACAAATGAGCGCTCATAACTAGATTACCCATAAAATTTGTTAAATAATTCTGACACGTTTAATTTTCCACTCATACAATACAATTATTATTATGCCAACGTTCGTCAGACATTGCCAATGTTCAGCTCGCATATTTCCCCAAAATTTATAAATTCTAAGTACATGCTTACTTATGTAGCGTGAATGTACATAGCTTGAATTGTTTACTGTTTATGTGTAGAATCGCCAATAAATTACCTCTGAGCTACTTGGGAGCAGAGTAGCACCAAATATCGGTAAATAAGCCATATCTGGCGAATACAAATATGTACATACATATTTCCAACGAAAAAGCATCCATTTTCCATTTCCCTGTCTGGATTTTGGCTTGCAACTCACGTACGCTTTTACCGCTCTAGCTAAACGCACATACACAAACTCAAATACAATACAGACAGACGTGCGCCGCCGCATGATGCCGGCATCTATTTTCGAATAACTTTGACTTTCTTAGTACATATTGTATATATGTATATGTATATGTAAGTGAGTGCATATGTACCCTGTGGAGAAATGCACTGGTGCCGCACTGGTTACAAAAGGAGACGTTGATTTTTTTTTTAATTTTTTCCATAAGAAATTCATGTGTATATTGGGAGAAAGTTAAAAAAAAAATATATTAAAAATCAACGCCAATGAAAACTTGAATTTTATTGTACTAAAATTTTTTGAGCTTTAAATTCCCAAGGTATTATAGAAATTCAGTTTAAAAAATTTGAAATTTTGATGAAAATTGGTAAAATTTTTGTAAATTTGGTATAAATTTTAAATATTTGGTTTATGTACATATGTATGTGTATGGTTTTGCTTAAAGCATAAAAAATTAACAAAAAATTCTCAACTTGAAAAACATTCTAAATTAAAATAAATCACCATGCGAACGCTCGTTTGAGTCACTGTATATGAATAGATATGCACAAATAAATATATACTAGTACTAAGTTCCTGCATATTTTATCTTTATGCCCCAAAGTGCCCATATTATTTATACTTTGTTATGTATTCTAACTTCATTGATTATTGCTGTTGTTAGAATTGATAAATTAGTATACTTATATTACAAACTTTGATCTTCATAAAATACGTGAGATGTTTAGGTATTTCCTGCAAAACAACTTTCTTCTCATTCTTAGAAAGTCAAAATAAAAGCCAGAACCTTTTTACTTAGGTACACACATGGCTAACAGTTTCTAAAGTGTGTACATATACGTATAATAGGGTCCCTCACCAAAAAAAATGCCGTTTTTCCATTATAATTACAAAATTTTTTATATTTTCAGACTCCAGGCAAAATATTTCCGAAAAAGATTAAGATTTACTTGAGCTAGGCTGATTTTAAAATATCTCTAAAAATCTCGTGTTTTATTCCGTTTATAAACTTTTAAACAGTTTTATGCAGAGCTTTTAAGCTTAAACTCTTCTATCATCTGAGGAGATTTTTTGGGAAAAATATTTGCAAATACTAATTTTATTTATACACAACTCGATTATTGGAGGTATTTTCAAATGAGTGCAGCTCATGTATATCTTAATATTTTTCCGAAATATTTTGGTGGAAGTCTAAAAATATAATACATATTATATTAGCGATGGAAAATCAGGACGGATAATTTTTGTAAGGAGAGTGATCCACCCTAATTTACATACATACTTAAGTGCATGTGTGTGCGCACTAAAGAATTGCTAAATTAATTTAGGAGCAACAACGTTCGAAGATACGGACTAAAAATTTAGTAAAATGCCTATACCAGGAGAGAGATACCATACACTTAAGATATTTAGGAGGCAGCGCTTATTCCAAGCTCCACGACATTCTATTGCTACCTTCGATAAGGCACTTCTACGTACTACGTAGCAAATTATTAATTCCAGGGTAGTTGATTTGCGATTAGGACATGATAGACTCATGATCCCTGCCGGATGATCTGATAGTTCAAATAGTAAATAGCTACTCCACTTTAAAGAAACATTGTTGATTAGGAAGCAGGATCAATTTTTTTCAGCTCTTACGCGCACCTATATTTAGGCTCACATGCCCTGCGGAGCGCACATTTCCAAAGAATTATGCCAACCAGCTGCATCAATTAAGTAAATAGGCCGAAA